ACAGATAAGATGCTTCCTTTCTTGAACTTTTATTCCTGTAATTTATATTTCCTTGATTTGCTTTAATGAATTTCACAAAAAATAACTAAAAGCCTTAATTTGAACTAGGAGTTCGTTCGCACTATGCTCGAAAAATTGTGACAGCATCCTATCTCCATGCCTTTGCCATATTAATTTTTATCAAAAAAAGAAGTCATGTGCCTTTAACTAGTGTGTTAGTGATTTTTGTGCAGTTTGCGGAGATAAAAATCGAAGAAAGTTACATCACAAGTTCTGCGACTTTCTCTTCTTAGCTGAGCAGAGTCTAGGCTGATCGAGCGTCTCTATGAAAGATTGATTTCAAGGAGGGAAAACATCAAGTTCACCGTTTTGTCTTACCTTTTCGAAATTCATAACCCATAGAGCTCGGAAGAGAAGGACATGAGAGTTGTTTTATATGTTTTGGGTTTTACTGCGACCTTGCTCTCAAACTCATGAGACCACGACTGTTTTTCATTTTCGATTTTTATCCGCGCAATGTGCGCATGAACACCACGAGTCCCCCACCCCTCAAGAATGGGTCGCCAAATTGTTAAAAGTTAACTACATGGGTTATAAAAATGTGGAAATGACTTATTGACTTCTCAATAATTGAATTAAATTTCAATCAAATTGTCGCTGTGAAAAAATCTCTTGGGGGCCCCCTTCTAGAATTTTAGGGGTTATGGAAACAAGAAATTTGGAAAGCACCCAAAAAACTTTCGTCGCTCCTCCCTCCCCCCTCCCCTTCAAGAGAAAATCCTGGGATTGCCACTGCAAAGTATATACGTGTCAACCCCTTAAAATCTTTTCTAAGACTCCTTTAATTGAAGTCCTTAGGATAACATAAATTTCCTGAAAAACGTGAGGAACGTTCTGTATTTGGAGGCTTTTTGCAGCAGTGAACAGGTCTGCATTTTCAGATCATCTCATTAAATGACTAGTCCTAATTCTTGTACAAGGCTAAGAAGGCCTCTTTTGAGCGTGACTACTTGCTGTCAAATGAGTCCTAGTCGTTGGTTTTTGTTCGGAAATGCGTAAAGCGAACGACGAGCGGATAGAAGGCGTTCGATTTGTCTGAGGGAAGTTCGTGAAGGGAGCTCGGATTTCATGTTTAGGATAGGAACAAGCGGAAGTAGCTGAGCAGCGGATGCGAGGGGCAGAGAGGAGCCGGAAGATAGAGTGTTTAAAGCAAAAAGGAGAAGATGTGCTTTAGGCACACATTTTGAGCAGTTTTCTGAGCAAAAGCTCGACCAGATTCTCAAAGGCAAACTAACCAAAATTCCAAAATCAAATGCAGGTTTTAGGATACTCAATACGTTTCCCTCCCCTTCCTTTTTTTGCCTGACCTGAAACCCCTTATGATGAAGTGGGTGAAATATGATGCGAGATGCACATGTTCGCTCTATAGTCAAAAAATCGTTGTCCAGAATATTTAGCGGTACCTCTTCAAAAAAATCTTTTTCATTTTCTTTCCAAAGCTCTGCGGGCTGCATTCAAAGATTTTATAGAGTAATGCGATCCTTCGAGAAGGAACGCAAACCATAAAGGACTTCTCGCATGCTATAGAGCTATGAAAAGTCCCATGCTCACATATTTGTTTGTCATTACGCAAGTAGCCGTTAGTGTGAAATTTGTCGAGGGAGCCCAAATAGAATAAATTCGGGCACAGAAGCGTGACAGTCGTTCAAAATCTCCAAATGAATCTATATTATGGACTTATAACTCAAACTACATTTATTGTTTGAAATTTGCCAATAATGTTTTTCCGCCCTAATTAGGATTTACACATCTTTAAATCTATTTCTTTCTCCCTATTTATTGATGCATAGATTCTTTATGTCTTGTTTATTGTGTTCATTTCGTTTTTATGTTATATGTTATTTTTTCTGTTTTGATATATTTGAGATAAGAATATAGTGTATAGCACGACTCTGAATGCAGAGTCGAATAATCAGCAGCGAATACACAGTGGAAATAACAAACGATGCAATTATGAAGAAAGGAAGAAGTGCAGAGGAAGAGTAATGAATGACTGAACGAGAAAAGAAAGAGATTTGCAAAAAAAGCATAAGAAAACCCTTCTGACTGCAGCTATCATTTTCTCAGAATTATTTACATTATAGGATTGGCATTCAAAACGCAAAACCGAACGACTTTGATTGTTCGCAAAAGAAGTCGGGTTTTTGTTCCAAAAAGTGGAAGACTCAACTGCCAACAACCAAATGTGCAGATGCTGCAGTGAAGGAGGAAGAAAGTGAATTTCTAGGAATTTGGGAAAGTTTTCCAGATTCCGAGAGTTTAAACCAACTAACAAACTAACAGAAGTGACAAAGTAGGTAAAACTTGTGCTCAGCTACTGGCCCGACGGCTTTCAACAAGATGTTGTAATTTATAGTTTCTTACTAATCAGAAGTAGATTTGAGCGGGAAAGTCATTTTGAACCCATCAAATGTAGAGCGGTTTTTGGAGAAAGAGTGTTAATTTGTTTAGAGTCGGATTTTTTCAAAATGAAATTGGAGCAGAAAAATATTAATGGAACAAGCAGCAAGAGATTTATGGAAGTTGTCAAAGAGAGAAGGAGAAACAAATGTCCATATCAGAGAGGCGCTACCCAGGAAAAGATGTTGCAAGTGCCTTTGACAGGGCTTAGTGGGCAAAAGGTAATGCAAAATGAAAGACTATTCAGATTTGGAGCGAAAAAAAAGATGTTTTTACTAATATTACTCAAGAGAAGTGCACTGAAATGTCAAAAATCAAATCAGATGGCACAGTCATACAAGGTGAAAGAGTGACCGCTGATAGAGCAAAATAGCATGAAAGACACGTCAAAAATGGAAATGTAACACGAGGCGGTTCTCCTGAGGCTTTTTTTGATATGCTCGTAACAAGATGGAAATGGCAGATATGTCTACGAATATGAATCAAATTGCAACGATTGAAACAACTCAAAACCTCAAGATAGAAATGAAAGGGCGAGGCAAAAAAAACCCCAAGAAACATATGCGAAAATTTCTGTGTAAACATATAAAATTTTTTGCATGTTAGCATATGGGAATGTCTGTACCAAACCGAATCTGATTCATAGACAAGCAAACAAATAAAATCCTATGCTGTTATAGAACATCAGCTGCGTCAACAATGTTTGTACAACAAAAGACACAAAGGACTACAGCTGGAGCTGAACAAATCCCAGACGACCAAAATATCGCGAAATGTACCCATTTGCATCCGAAATACACCAAATCCACTGAATTGCCCCAAATTCATAGAAGATTACCAGGGTTTGCGAGGATTAGCGCGGATTTTGCAATACAGGCGGACCGGAGTGCGACAAATCCAATGGGGAAAGTGGAGAGATTAAGCATGGGAAAATGGAAACGGAGACTGATGAAGCATGGCAAAAAAGACATCATGAAATTCGTTCCGAAAAAGGCAAAAGTCATCTCGCTAAGGCCCGTATGCACGTCCATCCCCGCGGGGAGGGGATGTGCGCTTAACCATTGAAATGATCCCCGCTGGGGATCCCCTCCCCTCCCCGCGCGAACCCCCGTATGCACAAAGACAATATCGGACAAGGGATCCCCTGTGGGGAGGGGAAGTGAACCCTCTTATGCACAAGAGGGGATCAAGCGGGGAAATCACCTTGCTTTCAAATTTTCTATGAAAAACTCCTTCTTATTTCATATTTTGACTGCAACTCATCTTGATCTCCTCACTTTCATTAATTTAGGGTTGCGGAATGCGCGTATGCAGTGACTGCGCTCGGGGCACTAAAAATGATTTTTTCTACTCCCACCACGTTCCTGCTTTCTTGGATGCTGCCCACTTTCGCTCATGCTGCTCCATTTCAGCGTAAAAATGTTAACCTGTAGAAGTTGATCTGTCTCTGCAAGGGAATGGGCAGAAGACGTTATGCTGCCGAAAAGGGGGGGGGGGGAGGGGTGCCGCGCGGACGCTCAAAGCAGTATTCTAACACATAACAGAAGCTGCAAATTGTGCCAGCTCTCCATAAACGCTGTAGCATACCGTCCTTTATCCCAGGGGAATGATCCCCAGCAGCCATCCCTGCTATGCACAAGGGGAACGCTGGGGAGGGGATCACTCCCCAGGGGATTTCTACTCAGAAATAGGCAAATATGCTACTTTATAGATTTTTTCGAGGCAGCTTATGTTAAAATAACAAGATAATGGCAACATGTCATGAAATATGAAAGTTACAATGTGTTTACTCAGCCTATATAGTTAAAACTATTATGTTATATGAAAAATGCGCAAATTTCCTGAATGATCAAGAACTCCTACAAATAATCGAAATTGGCAGCTACTGTTGCTCGGATTTCTTCTCAAGAGGCGAATATAGAAAAGAGTGACAAATTGCAAGCCACAGGTCGCTGAGAGAAGAACCCGGCTTTCAAAGAAAATCCTCCATCAAAATGAACGAAATGCTTGGTAACGACTGAGCAGAACCAGAATATCCGCGTCTCTGGCATGATCTACACCATCGAACCCCTACTTCGTTGCAGGGGATGTCGATCCCCTCCCCCGCGTTATTGAGTTGAATTCGCGCATACGGGGTTCGAATGGGGGAAGGGAAGGGATCCCCTCCCCCATTCGAACCCCGTATGCACTGGGGTTCGCTCGATCAATACCTCTGAAACCATTCACAACATCCCCGCTTAGGTACAGGGGAGGGGATCGCTCCCCTCCCCTCTGTCATGGCGGGGTTCGGCGGAGGGGATCGTTCCCCTGGGGATCCAGCTCCCCTCCCCTCCCCAGCGGGGACGTACGTGCATACGGGCCTAAGAGACCTCGATGACGAAAAATGAAATTTGAGAAATAGGCACTTGGAAATGAGAGGCTATAAGTAATAAATGAGGAGTTATATGATAGTTTCTGTATTAAACACAAGAGAATGAGAAAATGGACTACGAATTTGGAAATGGAGAGGAGAAATATGATGAAAATTATACGAAACTAGCCGAATTGCAATGACCGTCGATGACCTCGGAACTCGCAAGAACCCAGGGTTGTGGATGTCGAAGTCGACAGCTGCCCTTCGAATTCCTTGCAAGGCCTGCGGCTTTTGCCTGCAAAAATACGAGAATTAAGTTGAGAAATCAATTACATAAAAACCACGACGAGCACGAAAGATGACGATATAGAATGACATTGGAACACGCAAACATAGCTGCATATGATGACATGAACGTACATAGCAGAAAATTGGAACTATGAAATGGAATGCGATTTTTTCTTGCTAAGAAAAATTCAGAAATATTGGAAAAATGCTCTATTTACATAGAAAACCCGACAACAAGTCTTAATTCATGTTCACTGAAGACATATAGTCCAGTACATTTGATATTAATATGGTGTGCACTTGCAGTGCACACAACACGCGGAAGGAGTGGTCATAGAGCGCACATCTCCAAGTATGCGCCCTATGGTCATGCTTTCCGCGCAGATGTTGTCGACACTGCAAGTGCACTATACTAATCTTCAAAACAACTACACTGCACATAACTCGCATTAGATCGGACTAATGTGAGGAATGACGAGTGAATATGTGCTATACGACATCAAAAGAACTAGCCCAGGATCCACACAAATGTGCAAGAGACGCCTTGCCATAAAGTGCGAATACAGACAAACAAAAAATTCTGAGAATCTCGCTGCTGAAATACAAGCAGCCAAAAACATTGCAGCACCAAGTCAGCAGCTGTTCAACTAAGAGCGCGTAAAACGCAGTAATTCACTTTTTTTTAAACGAACAGCTGATTAAGCAGCAGCCAAAACAATGTTAATGAGCATTAGACCATGCATAAGCAGAGACAAAGCAGCATAGTATGGCCAGCCACAATTATGAAGCAACAATGGAGAGTCGTCAGCCTTGGACGGGGTAGCTCTGGAGCGAAAAACAAGGACACGCACACTATTCACATACCCACATCCGATCCTCTAGGAGCGGCTTGGGAATGTCAGAGCCGCGGCGCGAAGTGGACGAGTTTTTTATTCGAGCCGAGCACGCGCGTGCTAGGTTTCGAAATGGGCAAGTTGCGCGATGCTTATTCGTTCAAGAGCTGTTTTCGAGAGCGTTTTGAGGGGCATTTTTGTTTTGCGAGAACGCTGCTGAATGCAAGTCTCAATTGGATTTTTTTGCGGGTTTCTTTCCTGGAAAAAAACTTGTGGAATTTGGAGCAATGCTTCGCATTTGATAATTTTATGAGAATTGCCATAAGCTCAAAATTCAAAACGAGAACAAAACAAACATACGGGAGACAAAAAGCTCCTCATCACGCAACATCATTTCACAGGGTAATCGCATTATTCAGCTGGTTGCCGTGCAACTCAAAAGAAAAAAAAAATAAAATATATAGGTTAGTATGTTAGTATGCACATTCATTGTCCCACATAGAATAACCTAGAGTTATAGGCGATAGGTGTCACGACAGCAAAAGTTCATTCGAAGTTCAGAATTCTGGGTTATGAAAAGGTCTGGCTAATATAATTTGAAGGACAGAATAATTTAATAAATATCAAATAATTTCAAGTTCAGATTCTTCAATTTTTCAGCAATAAGGCAGTGGTATTTCAGTGCTCCCTCTCTACCTCAGCAGTCCAGGTGCTCCTAGTAGAGAGTTTGATAATTTTGATGACACCGGATAAGGAAGGAAAATATCAGTATAGAATAAAACTACTAATTCAGCCCTAAAAATCCCTCATATCCAGCCTGCAATCGACTAACACCAGTAATAAAGATAACAATTTTAGGACAGAATGAAACCACAAATCTTCAAAGTATCATTTCGTGACTTTCCCAAACCGTAACCGTTTTGAGAACTGGTGATTTCGACCTTAAATGGAAGCAGAAACTTGCAGGGACTGCTTTTTCCTCAAGTAGAAATGTAAATATGCGATATTCCATGAGACACCCGTTTACATATCATATTCAAGGCGATATTCTGATGATTCATACGTATAATGTTAACACATTTTGCCTTTCGATGATTCTGCCCTATCAGCTGTAAAATCTACATTTTCTTGCAGCAGAGTCTACGGGACTTCTGCAGCATCAAAATAATCAAACCCAAAAGGAGGGGAAAAACATTGAGGTCTCATAAGAAGCCAAAGCATAAACGTAGAAATTGTGCTTCCTATCATTGAAGGGGCTAAATACCTGCTTAACACTTATTTTCAGCCGTATATGATTTAAAAGCTAAGGGAAATGCAAAGGTTATGACAAAAGCGTATGATCCAAACGTTTTTAAGCAAACTGTAGTGCAAAAAAAAGGTTCACTGGGCAAAAAATACAGCAAAACATTCACTCGTTGCAACAAAATGGCGATTCCGTAGTCTTTTGCCGATTAATGCAGCTAATTTTGTTGGCGACGGATGATTGCTTGCGATTGCTGTTGAAAACCTCCATGAAGAACCATAGCATAGCAAGTAACTTATAAAGGACCGATATTACTGTCATTAAAGGCAGTACCCAGCCCTAATTCCCCCGATTAGTTCCGATCCTGAATGTAGCCCCCACGAGAGGGGCATTTGCGTTGGGCCGATCCTCTGATGTTGTCTCTGCATGGAGATAACGGGAAACAGCCAAAGTGCTATCAAGCCCCGCCCAGATCCTGTCAAGCTCCGCCCACTCATGTACTAAAAGCCGTCCGCGCCCTCAAGACAGGGTCCTTAGGAGTTGTGTTTTTGGGGGGGGGGGGGTCTGAACAATTCAACATCAACCCGTAATCAGGGCCACTGAAAGGCCCCAGTGGTAGAAACATAGGAGGCAAAATTTGGAAGCTGCCTTTAATGTAAGCTAATTGAGGAAACACATTCCAAGAATGATAGCAATGATTTGACACCCGCACACGGTCAGTCGAATCAAAACTAGCAAGTGGAACGGAATTTCTACAGACTAAGGAATTTTCTTCCATCAGCTGCGATATTGAACTAAAGTTCAAGAACAGTAAGAAATTTCTTTGATACGTTAGTAAGAATTCATTAATTGTGACAAGAATAAGATGACCTTCACACAAGGGACGACCACTTAAAGGCGCTAGAGCTCAAGCCACCTGCGAAATCTCGCAGTTGCCAAGGGAAACGCCAATACCAGCGATGACAGAATTATGACGCGAAAAGCGAGATTTTCACAGCCCGAAAACAAGCTGAAGAATGACATTGAAGGGCTATTAAGGTGCTGTGACTTACGAGGGGAGGGGGGAGGGAGCGGAAGATAATTGAAGATGGGCAACGAAATCAGAATGTAATGTTACCAACACAGCTATAGTCGATCTGATCTGGTACTTTCCATTTTGTAAAAATTTCCTTTCAAAAACTATATCAGTGTACACAGCTTTTCACCAGAAACAAACAGGCCAAAAATAAAGTTATATGTAAGCAAATATTAATTAGAGAAGGGTTTCTTCAACAAAAATGTTTTGCGTACCCGTTCGTATGCTACTGCAAGAAGGAAAGGAATCCCAACGAAACCGTCTTTCTTATCAAGAAGCCATGTGTCAAACCCATAAACATCAAAACACCTTTTTTCCCTACCCAAAGTAGAGCCAACAGCTGCTACCCAGAAGCAAATGTACCCAAAATAATCAGTAAAATGGGGATATTTACCAAAAAGGGAAAATACAAACTGTATTTCCTTAACTTTGGTGTAAATCGCCAAAGACAGACTGGCGATTTTTGACCTCACAAAAACAAAAAGCAAAAGGTTCTTCAGGTGCTACTCCACAGATTGTTTTACAGATGACTGGAGCAAAAATTCATTTTATGATGATAACATAGAACTTCCAGTTCATACAGAACGTAAGAATTCAGCTGTAATACGGTACACCTTGAAATCAGAGGTCAAGCAATTTGAAAGCCCAGCTATATTTGGAAGTTAAAGAAGCACGCTGGACAATTGCAAAACAAAACACTTTTGAGAAGATTTGTTGAGAGAAACTACTTTCCCAACGAACTAGCAGGAAACCAAAAGGACGAAGAGTCCCAAATTTGCATGTTTGCAAGGCCAAATGAGCATTAGCACTGACTCTGCGCCAGTGGCTGCTGGTCATTTGTGGTCAGCTCATTTGATTTTGCAGAAACGGAGACGGAAGCCGGTCAATGGGCGACGGCGGGTGCAGCTGAGGGCATGCTGCAGACGCATGCATGCCCTCAGCAGCTTTCGCAAACGCGGCTGCATCGATAACGAGAGAGTCACCCTTAAATGCATTCGAAACATCGATGTGAAACATTAGCAGAAGAGTCATGAGCAAAGGGCCGATGAAAATCAATTAAAATGCGAAAAAAATTGAGCGTGAGAGCTTTTTCGGAAGTTTCGTCCCAAAATCGATATATTGATTAGTTTAAGCAGGGAAAAATCATATGCGCCAAATCGCGAGATATTCTCCATTTCCGTTCACAAACCAGTTGCAAAATCCCAAATAAATCGATTCGCTGAGCAAGTGCGGAATAGCCCCTTCCCCCCCCCCCCCCCCTCCCCCGACATTAGTGCCGCTGTGCCATCGCACACGGACCCCCGCTTCATTATGTCGGGTGTCATTAGCGGTGCCGGTCCGATGCCAAATTGGCCGACTACTAAGTGTGGCCGTCACAGCGCTTTTTTTTTCAATGGCCTACGCATAGAATGGACGTATGCCCTTATTTGGTATCCACTAACGTACAGCCAGAGCAGCTGTAATTGGCATACGACGAATTGGATGGGTTGCACTGTGAATGGCGATCGAATGGGGTGAAGGGTAAAGGGAGCTGGAAGCGATAGAGGGAAAGATCGATGGGGAATCTAGCAAAAATGCGAAATGGGAGGATTCCCAGGTGAGTAAACTGATTATCTGCATACAACCAAAAACAGGCAGATGTGCATATATTACCTTGGCAACGCTCTATATGACCCCTATGGTTATTTGCAAATAACAGAACGTTTGCTGAGTGTAAACTCGGCATCGATGCGACGAACACTTCGTGAACAGCTGTTTCGCATATGATTATGATGCGCTCTACGTTCCTACAAGCTGTTCGTTTCGGGAAGTTGGGTGATTGATCGAGCATTGCATATTTGGAAAAAAAA